AAGAAGAAGAAGAGGAGGAAGGGGAGAAAAAACACCAGCCAGTCACAGAGCCCAATACTGAGGATGAGGGGGAGGAAGAGGCCAGTAGGCAGGTCAAAGCCAGGTATCGGGATTCAGCTTCGTCCCTCCACCTTTTCCTCAGCCTCTGGCATAAACTCACCAGCACAGTGTGCAGCAGCATCTACCTTTTCACTCGCGTTCCTAGATCACCTGTTAAAGCCACCCCCCAGGGAAATCTTTTTGCATTTAAAAGCTTTGTTGGTGGGTGTGTGTTAATGGAAACATGTTTAATTATGTAGGCTCAATGCACTAAGGACTGTCTGCGCTCACTGCCTTTGTACAAAATGAGTAACACTCACAAATCTTAAAAGATTTAGCAGAAAGCGTAACTTCTAAGCATGGCTTAGGTTTATCTTTTTAGTTAAGGCAATGGTGAAATGTTGTAGTGCTTTGCTGAGGTAGGATGTTGCTTGGTTTCTTAGGTTTTCATCCCTATTTATTATTAACCTTATTAGCAATATCTGTCGCTATGAAGAAGATTGACATTTTTTGAATGCTGCCTATGATGTCTATCAATTTTGTTCATGTTTTAATAGGAAAGAACTACTTAGAGGCAAAGCTGATAGATATATATCATTTTATACATACCTGCCCATCTGTGTATATATGGATATAAACAAACCACCTATCAAAACAATATTCTCATGTAAAATTTTCCGCTTATCCTGAGGTATATATGGATTTGGCATCTGGCAACTTTATCCTGGTAAATTGGAAGAAAGAAAATACGTTCTTTCTTCCAGACAGCCATGTGATTTAGGTTAAATTGTTTGGCTTTGCAACTCGGCAAATGAGATTGGTTTTTTTTTTTTTAAATAAACCACATTCATGCAGACACTATACAGCATGGGAGGAAGAAAGGAAAGTGTTTAATATGCGAATTCCAAAGAAAATACTGTACTGTTGTTATTAATATCTTCCAGTCTGCAAATCTTGCCAATGGCTGCCTGAAATTTCAAAATTAAGTGATAATTTCCTCAAATCCAATTCTTAAAAGTCAAAGCTAAGAGACAAGTTATTAGTAAATCACATGAATATATTAAAATACTGTTTGAAAAAAAGAGGAAGAGCTGTGTAAAGGTCATGATGTGCTTTTAGGTCATCGGTCTTTTACAATAATAGTCACTGTGAGATAACTGGGTGATATTCCCATGACTTTTCTAAATACCTCCTTTCACTGTCACTGTAGCGCAACAGAAGTGATCTGTACCCTGGCCGTTCGTGTCAGATGCTGTCAGGAAGGGTAGGACTAACCTGGCTTCAGTGGCTCCTGCCGTGTACAGCGGGTGCATTAGATAAAGGTTTCCAGATTGCCCTGTGCTTCTGTTGTGAGAATGATTACCTGGTATATACCTGCTGATTAACTTCATAATATCCTGATACATATAACCTATTATGTTTTTGTTGCGTACTCTGTGCCAAACCCACACTCCTCAGATAAGGGCCATGCCTTGCATGCCTGTAGGTGGATTGCAGAGGTGGTCTCAGAAGAATGAAATCAGCCACCTGCCGAGTGATCCAGCCCAAAGCCCTGCACAGTGTTTATGCTGGAGATATTAGTGAAAACAGATACCCCGGAGTGCAGATGCCATGGCTTTTCACCTGCCTTGCTGCTTCTGTCACTCACCAACACCTGCCTTCACTAGAGCAAAGCAGATGTGTCTTTTGTTGCACTTGATGCAACTCTGCAAGTCTCTATCTGACACCAACATGGGATGCTGACACTCAGAGAAATTAGTGCCTTCATACCTAGACAAATGATCTGGTAAGGCATTGCTTTTGAAATAATTCTAAACCTTAATTTTGACAGAACTGTGCTGATTGAGTATTTTTTATTTTCATCTTTGGTGGATGAGCATTTTTAGTAAAAATCAGATCACCAGGGAGGATGATAATCAGATATCTGGCCTTCAAGAGGCAGTCATGCAGATAGTATCTTGAAGCATCTATACTCTGTGGAACACATTATCCAGCATGTTAAGACTGCTTTGTACTGCTCTGACAATGCTTACAGCCTAACTTGAAATACCTGAAAATTGTTCAGAAAATTGTTGTGAAAAGGTTCATGAAAATTAATTCTGAAACCTGTGGGTTAAATCCCTTCCTTTCCTTTAAGCTGAGTCGCTTCCATTCCTCAGTATTTCCAACCCCAAGAAGAATCCCACTGGGATACAAAGATGTGAGTTCTCTTACTTTATTTAAAAAGAGATGGTGATTGTCTAAATTTGGGAAGTTTTTGTTTGTCTGACTCTCCTTGAATTTTTTTTCCCCCCTCCAAGTGGTACTCTCTATTGATCTCTCTTTTCCCCGTTTTTCTCTCCTTCCCTTCCCTTTCTCATGATGTTTTCCTCCTGCAGTGGGGTCCCAGCTGCACAGGAGGCTGTGAATGAAAACCTTTCATGGTGTTCTGATTCTTCAGCCGTCTCCAGTGCCATTTCTCCAGCTGAGAGGCCTCTCTCCTGCTCTAGAGCAAAGAGCTCTTCTAGCAGCTCCTCTTCTGTGCCTGACTCATCTCTCTCTCATCATAATTCTGTCCTTTCATCACCATCTTCACCTGCGGCAGCATTGCTAAGCTCCTCCCAAAATTCATCAGCATCCATTACTCCAAAGGCATCTCCAACGGTGGAGAAATTACCTTATGTACCACATACTCCTTTTCACCTCTTCTCGTACGACTTTGAAGAGTCTCCAACATCTGTGAAAGAAAAGGAAGCAGAGGTGATGAGGGAAAACAGGTAGATTTTGTACAGCTGACATTAATTTTTTGATAAATGAATAACACCTTTGAAGAGTTTTATATTAGTAATAATGCACTGTGTTGTATTATTTCCAGAATATACTGTATTAGTTTTAGTCCTGTAAGCCTGTACTTTGATTTGATTGATATTCTCCCCTTGCCTTTGTTGCCTTCATTTCATCTTACTCCTCTTCAAGGTCCATAGTTAATAAGTATCCTGGCCTCCTCTATACAGCAGTAGATAAATAACCTGTGATTCTGGAGATCACAGAAAGGAGCACCATTTTGCTGTCACTTACAACGATGTAATTTGCAGACATGATTTCATGAAAATTAATGGAGCTCTTCTGCTATAAAACCAAGAGAGATCAGACCAGCACTTGGAATTCAGGGGTGAAATCCTGGCTTCAAAGACTGAACTGCCAAATCCCAAATTTGCTGTTAGATTACAGTCCGTATCCCTGTCAAGTGCAATTTCAACTCGTGCTTGTAATAACGGAAGTAGATTAAACCCTATAAAGAGAATAGAGCACTCAAAATAGGCAGTTTTCCCTCCACAACATCTGGTCAGTTCAGTTGTTCCACATGCATTTCTCTTACTTTTTAATTTTAATTTCCCCATCCCACCCATTTAAAAACAAAAAGAATTGTTTTGTCTCAACCTGTTTTCAAGTAAAACAGGTTGACAATAGGTAGCGCTGAAAACAATGCTAGAGAATCACCTTGAAAAGAAGTTGATGATTTTTAGCTGTCTCTCCCAATGATCAGTGTTCTTCGAATTAGGTGCTGAAAATGTACACATATATTGTGAGCCTATTTATTTCTTCCTTTCTCCAGCAGTCCATCTGAATTTCTGCATGTGAGCGAATATTTTGATTCCTTTGATCCTTTTAATTTTCGATCTTTCTCTTCTAATAGGTGGGTGGTTTTTGTTGCTTTTTCAATTTGCTGAAGAGCCTGTAAATCCAAGTAGCTGTTGAAAAGGGACTTAGTTCATATGTCTTTCCTTACCTGCAGCTTGAACACTGGGATTCCTCTAAGTTTACATCTTCCTGTATAGGTGCAATTTTCCCTTAGGCCTCTCCCACTCATTCATCGCTCTCTCATTGCTGCTGCTGTTAGAGTTATACTTTTTAGAGAGTAGATTCTAAATACCTCCTGTTCCTGCAATATTTAGTATTTCCGCAGTGATTTTTTTTCCTCTGATCATCCTTGCGCTTCTAGTTACCACATAGGATCAAGGGCGTGGTGTGGGGGAGGATTGTGCTGGGTTTATCTGGAGAAAAAGAAGGGCAAAGCTTGCACGATTTGGGCAGTAATGTGTTCATAAAAGAGGTAAATGTCTGGATATCTGGGGTTTCTTCAGAGTGAAGGCTTCTGGGACAAGGCCATTGCATCTGCATTGGTATATGAGACAAGAAGGGAAAATGGGAGTAATAGCCACCACCAGAGGAAGGTTAGAAAGGCAAACATTGTGTACAGGATACAGACTTACCCTGGTGTGCTGCATTTGCCTTGCTACTCTTCCAGCATCTCTGTCTCCCTCTAAATTTGATATATAGGGATGCCGTGTCCAGGCCAGTCCCTCTGAATTTTATTTTGTTAATACTTGTAGATCTGAGTCCATAGAAGGTGTGTTCTCTCCATTTTAATGAGAGTTATCTTTGGACTAATTGAAATTCCTTGATCTGAAAAAGGTTACTGCGTTGTGTCAGCTTTTTCATGGGGCAGAGCAGAAGAAAAGCAAATGTAATGGTTGATAAGGTCTCCTTTCAGTTGATTGAAATGGAAACGGAGGTTTCTGTTAGTGTCGGGAACATACCGAATGAGCTCCGAGTTGTTCTCAGGGCAATGGAGTTTTCTAATCGCTCGCTCAGTATGGGCACAGGCAGAACATTTTCTGAGCTGAGCCTGCCAGAGAGAAGACCCGTGTCAGGTCTGTGCTACCAGGGAAGCCCCGCGCTGCCCAGCTACACAGCCCTCCACCGGGCCACTGTCTCCAGTTTCTAGTTAGTTTTCTTCTAGGGCAGGAATGCCAGGAAGGCACTTATTTCCCATTCTGCAAAATTCCTTTTGTAGCTCAGAAACGTGCATGTTAGCACTTTTTTCCAAAATTATTCCCCTGTTCCTGGGCAGTCAGCATGATGTCTCAAAAATAGATGGTGGTGGTGGGGTGTTTTCTAAAACATAAACCTGGAATTGTTGCCAAAGGGGGCATGTTCTCTAAAGCATGATCCCGTCCATTATAAAAACCCCTAACTGAAATCCATTCTGATTTTAACACGGGCCTTGGCAGGCAGCAATGCTGTTGTACCCCAAGGAATGAAGCTTGAAACTCTGAATGAAATTTTGCATGGCTAGATGAGTGTGCTAAATGGAGCTGAAGGAAGCCAACCAGCCCTTTCAAATAAAATTGCTGAGTGAAATTACTGAGTGCTGATGTGTGTGGGAGAAGCAGCAGCAGAGAAAAGATACGGTGAAGGAGGGTATATTATATCTTATGAATTTTAATAAGGAAAATGATGTTGCCCTTTTTCCTGAAGTGAATTTTGTCATTTGGATGAGTTGGCCTTGCGGAGTACTTACCTACAGAGCATCACATGCTTTCCACGTGGGAAAACGGTATCATCTTCAAACAGAAATGTTAACATTTTCCCAAATCAGGAATCTCTCCTTGACATGCTGTTTAAGTGCAATGGTTAAAAGGCACAGCAAAGCAACACAACTGCCTTTTCTATTCAGTACGGGAGCCAGGATGAAAACATTGATAGAAGGGACTCTGGGGAGGTGGCCGTTCCAGGAGTCCTGGAAACAATTTCTCTTTGATCAGCAAGCTCACCTTGAAGTCAAGCAGGTTTTGGGTTTTTTTAGTGGAGGGAATGGCTGGTAGAAATTCCTAAAGCCATGCTTCCGGAGACATGGCTTTTTAACCATGGTGATGATTTTTTACAGACATTGTAAGAAATGGCACATGAGCTATGGCTTATGTTGGGGGAGGGGAAAGAAAATACCGCCTGCTTTAATTGAAAAGAATGTGGATGCTTTTCGTTTATAACACAAAAATTTGCAAATCATGGATGTCCATGTTCAGATCATGTCTCAGGAACACTGTTGTCTTCCTTAATTTCACTAGATATGAATACTGCTGACTTGGACTGGTTTGGTCCCTTTTCTAATGGCTGGGTATCAGCTCCCAAACCAGCTAATAAATTTGAGTAAGTGAGCGGTAATTTAAGTATTCCCACTCCAAGTTGTCACTTGGGAGGACCATTCTAATCTCTCATTATTTTCCATACCAACAGCTCACTATTTGAATCAGGTATGTCCATGACATGGTTGATATTAAAATGAGACGATAGGTTGCATATTTTGAAGCTGGGATTAGAGCAATATTTTCAGAAGAATATTTGAGAAGTTCTGGGGTATGGGATCACGGGATCACCGCCACCCCCTAAACAAGAGGATTTACTGTTTCATGCCTGCTTGCTGACAGATTCTTTCTGTCTCTCCCTTTCTCCTACTTTCCTTCCCAATGCTTCAGATACAATAGCTACGGCAGCAGCTCTTACTCTTCTCCGCGACCTTACTCTGGTGTGAGTGCCCCAACAACACCGACTTCTCGTTATGGGACAACTCTCTCACCGCCTCAAGAGACCAAATCTGACAGGTTTGTAAATTAATCGGTGTTTTGACAACAGTTCCTTTGTAGACAGGATGGAGATAAATGTAAGCTGTTCTGAATGGGTACTGGAAGTATCTTGTAGCCACATCTTTTCTAATGTTGGAAAGAGAACATACAAAAATCTAAACATGTTCATTTCCCACTCATTCTCAAGCCTTTCTCTGACTTGGTGTTAAGGTCTGGATGTATTTCCATCCCAGTTCTTCTACTTCCACTTAAATGGATAAAACAGTTGCTTCACACGTATGCTGTTCTAAGTATTAAAAGGTGAATTAAAGCACATTTTGTTTCTTTCCATTTTTTAAACCAAATTCAGACAGATATATTTTCAGTTCTGTCATCTTAAATCAACTATAAAATCTTAGAAATGTGCTTAGCTCAGAATTTTCTAGGCCATAATTTTGTCCTTCCTTGAAAATGCATGATATATGTCATTGTATTTCATCAGGGGCAAAAAGTTTCTTGCTGTAGGTACAGGAAACTCATACTAACCTAACAGTTATCAGCTCACTTTAAAAAAAAAAAAGGAAAAAAACCCCACACCAGCAACAACAAAAAAAGCAGTATTTTGAACAATCCAAATACTCTTTTGAATTATGTAAGGTACTAGGGAAGGAAAAAAGATAGGAAAATGTTATGGATACATGAAGGAAATTCCTCTTGGCATGGGATTTCACCACCAGAAATTAACTGACTGTTACAACCTGAAAGTAAATGACAGCTTCAAAGGTTGTCATGCTGAGTTTAAGGAGGAAACGTAGATGTTTTTAATTAATTTAATTAAATAATTTAATATAATAATTTAGTTAAATAATTTCCAATTAGGCCAGATGGGCTTTGGATTGTTTGTTGCCAGGTTGGCCTCTATTTCGTAAAAATTCCATCTCCCATCCTTTTTTTGAACTGAAGGCTTTTTCAGGGTCCTTTGTCTGTGTTTCATTTAATTTCTATTAATGATTTTTTGAATATTTCTGTATGTGTATAGAATACATGTATATATGTTTTATGTGTGTATGTATATATGTTTGAACCTACCTAATGCCTCATATCCTTTCCAATCTACTACTCAGAATGGTTCAAGTTAGGTTTTTCCAGCATGCATGTATTTCTAGCCATGAGGTATTGATTTAATCCTTTTTTTTCAAGTGGGTAATTACATTAAGTTTGTCTTTGGAGAAAGGCATCGTTTTTCATTTGCTCATCTTCCTGGAGTAACTTGCATCGATTTGTCTTTCCTAATCTGAATTAAATTACTGCCGAGTGAAACCATAATAAAGAACTCTAAACCGGCATTTTCACCCCCTTTTACCTTTGCAGAATAGATAAGCAAGAATTAAAGGTATCCCGCTGCTTTTGAAGTTTCAGCTTTCTAAGTCCCTGCTGTTGGAAGCTTCTTGTTGCCACTGCAGCAAAGAAACCCCAAAGTGGTCAAACACTGAGATGGCTAAAGATAGTTGGGCCTGTCCTGCAAGAGGTTGATCACGCTGGCCCTGCTCCAGTAAAGGAAGCAAGTTTCGTTGCAGCACGCACGTAAGTGCGTTGCTGGTTTGGAGCCAAAATGGCTTGGCCCCACAGGATGAAGCTGTAAAATTTGCAGATTCATGGAGAGTCAGGCCAGAGGGAAGCTCTGTAATCATCTGTTGTGACCTGAATGGGTCCCACAGAAGCTAAATGAAAGCCCCCTGTACCTTCATGTGTTTTCAAGTGGCAGCACATCACTTCTCCTGGAAGACATTCCAGTATTTATCATCACTGCTAGGAAAATATTTCATATTTTGGAGGCTGGTTTGTCTAGCAGCATCTTCCAGCCATTACACCTCATTCTGCTTTTCCCTGTGAAACTGGAAAGTGCTCTGCCTTCAACTATCAGATCTCTCTTACATGTTTTAAGTGTCTGAACGCAGTGCTTGGAGTTGCATCTCTGTCTTTCCCTCAGGTTACATTTACCGCTTTCCACCTCATGTGATAAAAATCTCTCTCCTCTTGTTTAAATGTGCAGCTCGTTTTTCACGGTACTTGAACTCACCAGGATTTCCGCATTCTTATATTTGAGGGGATGTTACAGCCTGATGCTTTTTGTATATTAGCCTCCTAGAAGTGTGAAACGTGTGTATGCCACAGCTGCATGTTGCCTGCAGAATAGATGCAGTTATTTTTTGAAAGATAATTAAATTTACAGGTTCAGGTGCCATTTTGCATCGTCTTGTTCTTTTTGGGTGCACTGCCATTGCAGATGTATAGTTCAACAGTCTCTAATGGCATGACTGCTTTGAAGAAGGGCAGAAGCCTGCTTTTATTTCATTTTCGTGAAAGACATGGGTTGCAGAAATGCCCACATAGAGATCGATGGATAGAAATTTGCTCACTGGAGAGTAGGCTGTGTAGTGCATGACGCAACGCTTGGCGCTAATTAGTTAGTGGAAAGTATTGTGGAAGTTTTCACAGTCTTCTGTCAATGGTGTTGCCTTTGATTATGTAAACATTATTTCCTACCTCCTGATGGTAAAAATTTACACAGATTCAAACAAAAAGTTAAAAGATGGGGGGGGGGAGAGGAAGACACTTGATAAGAAGCAGATGCGTATCTACGGTTAGCTCCAAGGTGAGTTTTCTGCTTTCGGCTTATGGTTGCAGTTATCCAAGGACTCCACAGAAATATCCCTGTCTTTTATCATGCAGGGAAGAGCTTTAGATGCAGTTCCTGGTACTGTTTATCTGACCTTTGAGAATGAGGAGGAAGGAAGAAGCAGCATTTAGAGCAGTGCCCAGCAAAATTATTCATGCTCCATTCAGTTACCCTGACAGGCCTTTCAAACCCTTGGCTGCATTTTGCTTATGTAAACAAGAGCTACAACTTAGGTGGAAAGAAGCAGTGTGGTTGACATTTCGACATTCATACTTTTAAAACCCTCCTTGGCTAAGATCAGTAGGGAATCCAAAAGAGCAGTATAATTCAGTGCAAAAGAAACTAGATTTTGTTCTTTGAAATCCACATAATGTATATATTTCTGATTGTACAGCAGAAGAAAAGGCTTACTTGACTGTTTCTCGGTTTCTAAATTCAGCCACAGGCTTTTGCCAACTTCTTGCAATACTGTTGTTCTCTCTCATTTCTCTGGGTCCCCTGTGGAGAGCCATGCTTCTGAAGTGCATATTGCAGCCATGGGAATCCTCGTGAAGGAGGGAAAATTGCAGGGCGCTTTCTGTTCAGCCCTTCATTGGGAGAGAAGAAAGGGTATATTGGTTCTCTCATATCTCTCTGCTTGTGAAAGATGCTCCTAATGCAGAAGAAGTATAACCCAGACCTCCTGTCTTCAGCTGCCAGAGACTGCTTTGCTCCATAAATATACTGCTCCCACTCTTCACGGCTTAAATCACCAATTAACTCTCTCCCCTATTCCCACAGGAAAAAATAAATTTATCAATCTCAATTTCTTAACCTCATAAATTTTGGTAACAAAGGGGAAGAGCAAGTCATGGCTGGAGCACAGCAGAGAGAAAAGCATTTTTCTGTACCTCTGAGTTGCTGCCTTGCCTGGGGGAAGGAGGTGTTGTAAGACTCTCCTATATTTCCATGCTTTGTGCTCACACCTAGGATATTTCTGTTTAGGCAAAGATTGCCTCATCAGACTTTGAATCTAAGATGGTCACTGAAATTGAAAGTTGCAGCCTGGAATCTGTAGCTAGACAGCGAACTCATTACTTGGAAAGCTCCACACCCCCTCATAGTGTGTTTTTGGCGGTGAAGTGTGTACGTTGTTGGTCATGGCCATGGTTAGACAAGACCCTGAAGGAGTCTAACTTCTAAGGCAAGAGCTCCTGAATTCGGCACCAGCTTTAATTCATTCCGTTGCCAGAAAAATATCCTTTGTTTCCTGCTGGTGCGTTTGCCAAGGTAGGTTTCTTCTGATGCATTTGCCAGGAGACGGTTCCCGCTGGGCTTGATAGTCAAACAATAGTGCAGTTAGCCTAGCTCGAAAAGCAGCCTTCTCAGGGCACTGTGTGCAGAGGGAGCAGGAGTTCATGGTCCCCATTCTCTTCCCTCTGTCTGTTAAATCAAGTGCCAGAAAGTTCAGCTTGCAAACCTGCACGTCTGGATCCTCTTGGCCAGTCAGTGTGAACTTAGTCTCCACCTCTGGCTGGTCCCTCTGAGGTTCTTCCAAATCTCCAAGCTTGGTAAGGGCCTGCTGTGGTGTTTGCAAATTATTCCTGTTTGATGCACTCTCCCAACTTTTCCAGACCAGTAGAAAATAGACTTAAGAAAGACCAAATGTGTTTCACATCCCTTAACCTGTTTTCTGTCTTACTTGCTTTATGATCTACAGCAGTACGTTACCTTGGGCTCCCGTGATGCAGGGCCTTGAATGTTGAATGTTCATCTCCATGTTCTTATATATCTTTTAAAGGAAATGTACCTTCAAGCATTTATTTCTACAATAGGTGCACACAGACACTGAGCTTAGCATGACTAGATTACAGGTGATTTTTTTCTCCATTGATTTTAAAGACACTTTAAACACCATACCTGAAGCGTAAACATGAAGTGCAGCAAAAGTCTGCAAATGCTCTTCTTCTGAGTTTTATTCACTCTCCAGGTGCCTGAAACAGTGGTTTTCTGGCAATCTGGTGCGTTTTTCAAATTTGTCTCTCTCAAAAGCAAAACAAAACAAACAAAAAAAAACCTGCTTGAGAATGCTAAACAGCTTTTCAGTTAGACTTTCTACTAAAATTAAAGGTCCCTGTAATTGACAACACCAGGGAGGTGCTGCTGGATGAAGCTTCTTGGCAGGTTCTTTTTTTTCATTAGCCATCTATCACTAGTCTGCACTCTGGAGTTACCTCACTCCAGCTGTTAAGCAGTAAGGAAAAACGAGAAACTTATGAAACAAAACCCACTATACAGCCTACAAAGCTGCTGCTCTCCCAGGAACAGCTCCTCTTTCCTTGGCTTTCTATTCTTTCTGCCTGTACCATCTTCTGCGTGT